CGCCTCAAGCATTTCAGTTTCCTTATGCTGTTAATTACAGGATAACATTAAAAGACGGGGACTTTCATGAAAACCGGAAATTGGCAAATTGGCGGCAGTGATACTTGAGCGATTTACTCAGATTCCACATATTGGCGGCCATTAATATTAGCGTTTTGTAAGTTGTGGTTAACTTTGACCTCTTATAGAAACAAGAAGGGAGAAGAGAGTATTATGAACCAGTAATAAATCTCACCTCTGGACCAGCTGAAGGGTTGCAGATGAACTCCAGCCGTTTGTACACTTTACCACACGTACTGTACGAGAGAACGACGCGATTCTCTTCTCGTCGCCACTACCACCGGTCACTTTGAACGACGCGCTAGCTGCAGAGCCGAGATCTGTGAACTCTGTCTTTCCACCAGCTTTCCTGGCGCGACACACGGCAGAGAGCGGACTGCAACCAGCCACTCTGTTCAATGGTTGACAAAGATATGGACGACCATCAGGTCTTCCCCTGCCAGTTTCCCTCGGACTTGAAAGTTCAGAGAACGTACGCGCGCGTGTCCCTGTCCAGTGATGCCACCGTAGCTCTAAAGCGGCGACAAGGTGTTTCGTGTGGAGTTCAACCGCATATTGGCAGTGGTTGACTTCGCTCACGGCAGCGATGGTGGGTCTTGGACGGTACAGCTTTCCCCCACGTGGATTCCGAGTGGACATGCAGCCATCGTCATCCAGTGAAGCTCGTAGAATCGATCGTTGGTGATGGCCACAAAAACGGGTGGTGTGGTGAAGTCGCCAGTCTTGCAGACATAGTGCATCACGGCCACAGGGCCCGAGTCAGACTTGTCACTAGAGTTATACCACGAACGGTCACAACGTGGCGAAGTCCAGCCCACGCACCCACAAGTGCATTCAGCGCGCGCACGCGCATAGCTTTGTTTATTTGCCGCTAGCTGCTGACACTGCACAGTCCCACCCATCCATACACACACGGACGAAGAAGCTTCTACTCTCCGCTGGGATCACGAAAACTGCCAGTCAACATCGACGTCGCTTATCTTGACCATGTCTGATCAGGTAGGCGGGTGTTGGTCACGACGGAAACTAGCCTTTTAGATGCTTTTTTTAACATTTTGAGGGCGGGGTATATATGTTCCAGCTAGCTATACCATCCAATATTCTTCCAGTTGGTCATTGAAGACTTTGCCGAAGTCCAGGCGGCTCTGTGGGCCGCCAGATCAAAATGGCACAACATCGGCACCCGACTCAAACTAGATGTTCATGAGCTGGAAAACATTGATGCTGAGCCAAGGTTTGGTCTGGATGACAAGTTCAACCTCATGATCAAGACCAGGTTGAAGAAGATTGAGCCATGCACCTGGAGAGATCTCTACGATGCATTAAATCATCCTACTGTTGCCATGTCTGACGTGGCAAATAAGCTTTCAGCAAAGCTAACAACTGGTAGGTTGAGTATATACCTACAGTCAGTATCCTGATGCAATAACTATTCTCCTACGTATCAACAGCTGAAGTACCAAATACAAGGGCTGGAGATGCAGCATTATCCATGAGCAGTACATCACTGACTGTGGCCAATACCTCATTTGAAAGTGGAGACACCAAGGTTACGCAGGTGTAGACAGGTGTTTCACTGAGGCAGTAGCATTTTCTATCCATTGTTCCACAGTCAAGTATTTTTTCACTGAGGCAGCCGCTAGACTCGTTCTCTCTCTCCAAGTCCACATATTTTATGCCAAAGGTTATTGTGCGCACAGAGAGGGGGATAAAGTTTGTGCACGTGGAGGGGGGCAAAGGTCATGCGAATAAATTATGTGCACGGAGGGGGAGCAAAAATAATTGTGTGCACGGAGAGGGATGAGCCTAGGATACGAGGCTAGCATTGCTCTCACACACAGGGTTACATTTCTTGCTATTCGCAAAAGCGGGACGAATTGATGACACCCTTCATGCACTGGGCAAAACAAAGTAGTCAGCACATACGTACCAGTGGCAAGCTTTGTGGGATGATTCGAGACACAATGTACTCAAGGATTGTTAGCGTACTGTCACCCCTTCCCTCTCTCTCGGACTTTCATCTGCATCTCACCACCAAACACGTTAGTTAATCACAGCTCGAGGCTGGCGTTGTATATAAAGTTTGGACTGAAAATAATTATGGCCAGTGTTTGCCCGTTCACACTGTGGGGGGATGAGTAGGTATCTCAGAGGACGAGTACTCAGTCCAGCATTGCCCCAGATGCTACTCACTTTATCGCTGCCAGCCTAAGCAAGAAACTGGCTTTAGCTAGACCATGTAGTGTGGCCCACAAGATCATCTGTGCTATGCAGTGTTTCCCGCAGGGTGATACTCAAACAGAGTGCTTATGAATTATTAATTACCTCAGCTTTCGCTATAATTATACTCACCTTTCAAAGCACTTCCTGTTGGGAAATCCCCTACTGACCTAAAGCCTGTCAAATGCTACTCTAGCTAAACACGCAGCGCCTAACTGCGCACATTGTAGCATTTTACCCATGCGCAATAATTGTACTCGCCTATTTTCTGGCTTTTTCAATCAAGACGGAAATATTGATAAGTTGCAGAAAGACTTATCTGTTTGTGCTGCTAAAGAAATGGTGCCATTGACTCCCTCCTCTGTCTTCCGTCTAATCTCAAAAAGAGCACAAAAGGTTCCTCAGGGAAGCAAAGGCTGATATCAAAGAACTAGTATCAACGGATGAAGTAATGTATGTGGTCAGTTCGTGTTATTGGCGAACACTATGACTACCTCGACTACATATAGTACACACAGCATATAGTAACTGGGAATGAACGCCGTGATGGGTCATAATTATCGAGAGAGTGTAATAGCTATGACGACAGTGTGTGGGTGAATCTACACACAAGAATTTGGGATTTTCCCCTTGTAGCCAGGTATTGGGCTCCTTATGGTGAGTTATCCTCATTAGCCAGTGTATAATTTGGTTGCGTGTATAATATTATACCTAATGAATGGAGACAGCATGGCTGCGTATAGGTTTACCCCATAATTTTGACATTCCGTAAGTGATAGATGGATAAACGGAAGGTTCTTGTACCAATCCTACCGGTGCCAGGTTTGCAATTATTCGTTCTAGCCTAAGAATCAATTCTTTCGTACTACTAAATAAAGAAATCACTGAGACGAGAGAAAATAGCAAATTTTTTATGCCAAAGGTTATACGTATTGAATGTGTGGGCGTTGAGGGGGCGGCCTAGGAACTAGGCTAGCAACCACCACATTTGTCTCTAACACCAGTGGGTTTACTAAAAAAGTAGGGTCTGAATCCAAGGAATTTTATGTCTGTCCCTTTTTCCTTCTCCTTCTGACTTTCATCTGGTATGTCACAACTAAACTTTGTGGCATAATTATCTGTAATAGCTATGAGTGTGTGGGTGAATCTACATACAAGAATTTGGGATTTTCCCCTTGTAGCCAGGCTCAAAGTATTGGGACTTGTGGCTCCTTATGATAACAGTCGATGGGTGATGCCATTAGCCAGTGTATATTTTGCAATATGGTTGAGTCACCTACATGGATATACAGCACGGCTGCGTATAGGTTTACCCCATAATTTTGACATTCCATAAGCGGAAGGTTCTTGTGCCAATCCTACCAGTGCCAGGTTTACGTTCTAGCCTAAGAATTAATTCTTTCGTACTACTAGATAAAGAAATCACTGAGACGAGAGAAAAGATCGATCAGTTGCAGAAAGAATACATCGATATCTCCGTTTGTGCTGCTGAAGAATTTAGCAATAGTGTTGCAGTTAAAAAGTTGCGCTACTCCCTCCTCTGTCTTCCGTCTAATCTCAAAAAGGAGCATAGAAGGTTTGTTACTAAAGTGAAAGCCGAAATAAAACAAGCTGAATCAGCTGAGGATATAATTGATGTTATTGGCGAACATTATGACTATCTCCACTACACTCTGTTGAAGTATGTCGTTGATCTCTATGGAAGTCAGGACTTGAAAAGTAAAATGGCAAACTATGCCGAGAAGACGAACGGGTTTCGGAAGGAAACAAGGCTTGAGATATTTTCAGAGGTTTGTGCCGATGAGCCTGAAAAGGTCGATGTAAGGTTCACCACGATGGTTAGTAAGCACCAAATGGACTGGAGAACCGCTACACTGGAAGACGTTGAGAAGTTTCGCATTCAAGTCTGCCGGGAGCTGTCCTTGTATGACTTCTCCCTCAACCTCGTGAAAGTGGCTCGAGGGTGTGTGGAGGTGACATGGCGGGTTCCTCGTTCTCTGGTGACCTACATCCAGAACTCTGTCAAGCCCAGCAGTCAGAGCATGATGGAGCATCACGTCACCACTCTCACCATTGACGGATTCATCGTCTACGACTCCTCTTTCGGTAGTCTGTTTCACCATGCATTGTAGCATTAGATAAATTCCACTTTCTTTCTCTTGTCAAACAGCCATGCAGAATGAGCACAAAGTGATTCGCCTTCAATTTCAAGCTATAGATGTCAACATCAGCTACTTGCTGGAGGAGATGTCACCAGAAGCAATAGTGCCACACCTGCTACAGCGAAGGCTCCTTACTCAAGATGATGCAGCAAAAGTATTTGAAAAGAAGAGTCAATTGAGAAAAGTGTTGGCTGTTATTGACAAAATCCGAAAAAGAGCTGTTGGGGGTCTTTTGACATTCTGTGCAGCGCTGATTGGTGCAGGGCAGCCACATGTTGCACAAAAGATTCTCAGCAGTGAGTTACTGAGATTTTTAGATGGCTGGTATATAGTCCACAAACATATGAGCCCTAGGTTGTAGATGCAAACTAGTTGGTGAGCCTACCCAGTCGTCTGAACTCAGGACATTTATGTGATTGGCACTGCACATACCGTAATGTTGTAAGTGATTCTAAATATGCACAAAAATTTCACTGCTCGCACTGGCCTGTCAAAAATGTGTGGAATTTGTTCTAGTATTTTACTTGTACACAAGAGTCCGTTGTTATAATGCTCTGCACACAACATGGAGATTCCATTTGACCTGTCTTGTATGCCAGCTGTGTGCAAAAAGCTGAATTAACTAACAGCATATATACCCCTTGGTTTATGGAGATTGCCACAGTGAGCTTTACTATAGGGAGACAAGATTACGGGTATTGCAACCAGTTAAGATTGCAGATAGATCTTTTTTGCATTGGCAGCAGGCTACTATATTATATTATACCTAGAGTTCCAGAGTCTCCTGAAGGGCGAGGCAGTCTGCCACCAACAAGAGGAAGATGATGTCATGATCTCTGGAGAGTCAAGTACCCAGCCCTCTCCTCCTCCTCCAGATAGCCACCTAATCACTGCTCAATTGGAGGGCTCCACCCTCAAAAGAGCACAGTACAACACCATACACAGCCTCACCAGCTCCCTACTCTGTATCCCCACTGGTGATCTGGTGTATGATGGCCACACCCCCAATCCTCTCACTCTTCACTGGCACATCGAAAGTCTTGGTCCTGTGTTTACGTCTTCCTTTGCTTGTGCTGAAATGGCTCTTATGGGTATTCAAAAGGTCAAAGCAGCTACAAATTTTGAGATAAAAATTCCTCGTCTAAGTGTAAGTATAATTATTATGTGAACACATTGCTGTTTTTTGTATGGAGCTGAAGCTAATGGGTTGACTATATGTTGTTCAAAGCTAAGTTCGATACCTTAAGTGTGTCTAATGTTTTAAATGCAGGAAGTCAGTCTTTTTAATGCTGCTTATGATGGAGATGTTGAGGGTCTGAATAATGCTCTCAGAATAGGAGTGCCAGTGGATTTTATGTACCCAGTAAGAGAATTTGTGATTGTGTCTGGGTTCTACTTATACAAAATAGTGTGTTCCATTGGCCCATCTTTTTGCTTGCTGCCTTTCTCTGTGGTATACTTCTACTTGGTGATTGAATGTTTTGTGTTGGTTACATAAGCAAACACGGTGATAATTTGTTTATTTAGGGAGGGTGGACTTCGTTAGTATGGGCGTCTGATAATGGACATGTGGAGGTGGTGGAGAGGTTATTACAACATGGAGCCACAGTAGACATGCAAGATAAGGTACAAACTGTGTGTATTAATTGATTGTCATGACATCATTTCATACCGATTTATCAGAATGGGTGGAGTTCACTGATGGTGTCATCTGGAAATGGACATGTGGAGGTGGTGGACAAGTTATTACAACATGGAGCCACAGTAGATTTGCTAATGGAGGTGCGTACGTGTGTGGTCAGTGGCAATAGCACATCTATGTCGGCAAGCACATATATACAAGTAGCCAGACAGGGTGATTGGGTCGGTTGTGACTTTCTTTGCTAGTAGAGTGGGCAACCAATAGAATCAGAGTCACCATAATTATATTGGCTAGCTCTACCTATAAGGAAAATGTGAAGACCAGCTTTTGTCTGGAAGATCTAGCTCACAGTGCTTTGTCACTTGGTTATGGGTGTCCAGGTCTCCTCTCTTTCTCTTTTCTGATCTAGGATAGTAAAAAACTAATAACGAAGATCATCAACTTTATCTTTGTTGAACTAGAGGGGTTGGAGCTCACTGATGGTAGCATCTGACACTGGGAATGTGGAGGTGGTGGACAAGTTATTACAATATGGGGCCACTGTGGATCTCCAACATCAAATAATGATCATGCACATGCCTATAATTTTACTGCTTTTTATTACGTATACCATAAAGGATGGGTGGAGTTCACTGATAATTGCTTCCCTGAATGGACATGCGGAGGTGGTGGACAAGTTATTACAACATGGAGCCACAATAGACCTGCTAAAAGAGGTATGGTCTCATTATTCAACTTGTCACTTCATGTATGCCTGTGCAGATACCGTGTCTGTTTGCTCACTTCCATTTCCTTATTTGTAGTAGGACCGCCTGCTAGCTCTTTCACAGCTTGCAGCATTTTAGATTTAAAAGTTTTCTGTTGAGCTATACAGGAAAAGTTAAAAAGGTGCAAAGGGTAGAAATTCTTGAAACAGCCTTATCTGTTAGAAAACCTGTGCAGCAAAAAAATTTGAGTGATGCCCAATAGGATGGATGGAGTTCACTGATGACGGCATCTCAGGAGGGACATGTGGAGGTGGTGGACAAGTTATTACAACATGGAGCCACAGTAGACCTGCAGAGTGAGGTAAGCCTAACACCAGTACAGTCTTCACTCACATTTAACCTTTCCTTGGACAAACATTTGTCCTGAGTGTCATGGTTTGCCTTTTCCTTGAGACCTTGTTGTTGACGTGTGTGCTGTGTTCAACAATCATAATAGCTTGCCGAGATGCCAACCACCAAGTGAAAAACTCCTCATTCATGTCTTACTTGCATCAATGTGTACATACAGGAAGGGCGCAGTTCACTGATGGCTGCATCTCAGTATGGACATGAGGAGGTGGTGGAGAAGTTAATACAACATGGAGCCACAGTAGAACTGCAAGATGAGGTAATAAACCCATTTCTTTCACTGATTATCTTGTGCTTGGGTGGCAGTCACTATTGTGTATTTGAAGCATAGTTTCTCATTTATTCACAAGTTACATTACTTCTCTATGTGCTAGGATGGTTGGAGTTCACTGATTTTGGCATCTTACAAAGGACATGTCAAAGTTGTGGAGAAGTTGCTGGAGCATGGAGCAAAACTAGACAACATTACCAAAGTACGTATATACTGTACATCCCATTGGTGGTGTTAGCTACAGTCCAACCACGACAGTTATGAATGGTAGATGGAACTATGATTTTATTACTACAGTATCAGGACTCGGCACTAATAATGGCCTGTTATAACAACGACTTGACCACGGCTTCAGTCCTTCTCAGAGCTGGTGCCTACCCAAATGGCTGCAACAAGGTATTGCCTCTATCAGTCCCTATGTTTTGCCAGCTTGTTCATACTATTCCTCACAGTTTGGACAGACTCCACTACTGTTGGCTGTAAGAAAGAACAATGTGGCAATGGTCGAGGAATTGATAGGGGCAGGAGTTGATGTTAACAAAATGGAGCAGGTATAATTTTATGTAGGTTGAGTTGTAGGATTACCCTTCACCTGCACATAAGGTTACCTCAGAACTTACCTTACCTTGCCTCAGAAAGAACTTCTGAAACAAGGGAAAATATGGGGCCAATTACATTTTAGAGGTCATCCTTATCTCAGAGGTCAATTAATGGGATTGAAACAAGTGTCCTTTGTAGAGTATATAAGTATTGTAGAGAGGTCATCCCTCTCTTGGAGGGTCCCTTATCAGAAGTTCCACTGTAGTTGTTTGGTCTTTACATGCAATGCTAAACTTGTGGCAACGGGTAAGTTTGATCAGCAAGATGGTCACGTGTGTCTGTATTAGGTTTATGATGTTAGATATGTTCAAAATATATACATTATTGTCTTTTCATACAGCACCCTGACACTTCTCTGATGAAAGAAACAGTGGACGAAGTGGTCAAAAGGTTCCATGCTCAGATGGATCATGTCCCTTAGTTATCACTGTATGACAGCGACAAAGATGTAGCCCTCAAAGTCCCTACAGCATATTTTAAACATCATTTTCACACATGATTTTTGTATACTGTGCATCGATCCATATCCTCTTCCAATGCATGGCACCTGCTGAATCCTACACTCTTATCCTACATTTTAACGCCTTGTGCATAAGGCGCAGTATGTTGAACCAACTGGAGCTCTGTGCGCGATAGACTGATAGTCCGGGTTGAGCCCCACCCACAAGTACATTCAGCGCGCGCACGCGCATAGTTTTGTTTATTTGACGCGCTGCTGACAGTGCACAGTCCCACCCATCCATACACACAGAGGAAGCTTCTACTCCGCTCGGATCACGAAGACTGCCAGTAGCATCGACGTCGGTTATCTTGACCATGTCTGATCAGGTAGGAGGGTGTTGGTCATCACGGAAACAACCCTTTTAGATGCCTTTTACAACTGTAACGTTTGAGGGCGGGGCATGTTCATACCTAGCTGCTACTATACTACCACCGAATATTCTTCCAGTTGGGTATTGATGACTTTGCCCAAGTCCAAGAGGCTCTGTGGGAGGCCAGATCAAAATGGCACAACATTGGGACCCGACTCAAACTGGGGGTCTTTGATCTCGATTGCATCAATTCTGAGCCAGGGTTTGGTCTGGATGACAAGTTCAACCTCATGATCAAGACCAGGTTGAAGAGGATGGAGCCATGCACCTGGAGAGATCTCTACGATGCTCTTAATCATCCTACTGTTGATATGCCCAGTGTTGCCAACAAACTCACAGTGAAGTTACCAATTGGTGTGTATAGATAATACTTATTCATGTGTTTTACATTAATATCTATTCGTCATGCAGTTGTGGCACTACCTGCAGAGCAAGGGGCAGCAGGTGTGGCTAAAACCTCATCTATTAGTGGAGGAGTCCAAGGTTCAACACAACATAGTACACACAGCATTGTAACTGGGAATGTATTGTTGGGGAGCAACCGGGAGAGCCGCAAGTGATGTGGCATAATTAGAGTGTGGGGGTGAATCTACACACAAGAATTTGGGATTTCCCCCTTGTAGCCGGCTAAAGTATTGGGACTTGTGGCTCCTTATGAAGACAGTCAATGAGTGATCCCCATTGGCCCGTGTGCAATATGGTTGAGTGTATAATTATTACACCTACAAATAATGAATGGATACAGCAAGACTGCGTATAGGTTTACCCCATAATTTTGACATTCCGTAAGTGATAGATGGATAAACGGAAGGTTCTTGTACCAATCCTACCGGTGCCAGGTTTACGTTCTAGCCTAAGAATTAATTCTTTCGTACTATATACGATACACGCTCTTCGTTGTGCCTTCAAAGAGTGGACCCGGTCGAGGTAAGCCTGTGCTAATTAGCATATTGGCTTGCTCACTTGCTTTTCACGCCATAATTTTAGACTTTACGCAAATCGCCATTTTTAAAAGTGAAGCCAGTGTAGCGCCGAACCCGTTGGTGTCGTTTTTTGGACGGTTTGTTGCACGTGGTGGCAGAAAACGTGGTATAAACAGACAGACACCAAGTATTGTAACCCTCGCTGCGCGTGTGCGCTGAGGGTTAACAAGGGTATTTAGTGCTTTTCATTTTACCATTGTGACCAAGAAGTATATAAAAAAATGACAAAATGAAAGATTGACAAGTTGCAGAAAGAATACATTGACTTATCGGTTTGTGCTGCTAAAGAAATGGTTAAGAACGTCGCCGTTGAGAATTTGCGTTTCTCCCTCCTCTGTCTTACGTCTAATCTCAAAAAAGAGCACAAAAGGTTCCTCAGGGAAGCAAAGGCTGATATCAAAGAAGCAGGATTAACAGATGAAATAATGTACGTGGTCGGTTCATGTTATTGGCTAACACTATGACTATATACCTCCACTACATATATACCTACCAACCATCCAGCTTTTTGCTAGATAATCAAGCAAAAATACCGCATATCCCACCACAAAATTACCATATCCCTCTTTTTTGTGCTAACCTGTGATGCACCATGCCAATACATTTTGAATGGACACACAGCATTTTCAAGCAAAATCCTCCAAATCAAGGGCACTTGAAAGTGCATAACCCTCGCCCCTGGTGATTATGGAACTCCAATAGTAGTTTATTAGAGCCTACATTCAGCAGTCAATGGTTATACCTCAGTGACTCCTTCACTGAACAGATTCGCTCCCTGGCTCTCACTTCACCGGCAATCTCGCTCCTACTCAACTGTACCATCAATACTGGCAGACCAGCAAATCTTCTCCACACGCGCAAAGCATCTAGCATCTAAGTACAGCGATCGTCCGCGATCTCTATTTGACGCACACTCACCTCGGCAGCCGTCCGTTTCCCCAGCTTCCCCGGCCTTCTCCGCTCCAGAATCTTATTTTACCATGCATGTCTCCTACTTGATAATATGTCGACGTTTCACGCTCAGAGTTGCCGCGGTTACAGAGAAAAACGGTGGACAGACGGACGGACGTATGGCACGCCAAACGTAACAAAAATCGGCCAAACTGTAGAGCGTTCTACAGACACTCTAGAGCGTCCTACAACGGCCAAACTCTAGAGCGTCCCACAGACTCCCCAAATCGTCCTAGAACAGCCAACCCCTAGAGCGTCCTAGAGAAACTCCAGCGCACTCAAACTACTCCATACTACGCATGCGCTGTAGTATGGATGTTCTTGCCCTTTGACCCTTGGTTATTTGAGTGAAAAATAGGGACCAGCCCCATTGTCAATGAGATTCACCAATGCTGGCTTCTAGATTTTCGTTTTCGGAGGTCACGTTCTCCCCACCGTCGGCCTTATGGAAGGCGATAAGGCACGTCAGTCACTCCGCTGCAAGAACAATCCTTCCTCCATACTATACTACGGCGCATGCGTATGCTCTGGAGTTTCTCCAGGACGCTCTAGGGGTTGGCTGTTCTAGGACGCTCTAGAGAGTCTGTGGGACGCTCTAGAGTTTGGCCGTTGTAGGACGGTCTAGAGTGTCTGTAGAACGCTCTACAGTAAGGCCGATTTTGGTTACGTTTGGCGTGCCATACGGACGGACGACGGACACACGCACACATACACACCTACACGTACGTACACACAGACTGACCGACTGCAATAACCCTCGCTGCGCATGCGCGCAGGAGAGGGTTAATCAAGCAAATTTGACACATTTCTCAAGAAGAGGTTCATCTGCAGGTTGGTAGGTATGACAGCATAGTAACTGGGAATGAACCCAGTGATGTGGCATAATTATTAACCCTCGCCTGCGCGCATGCGCAGCGAGGGTTATTGCAGTCGGTCTGTCTGTGAGTGTGTGGGTGTGTGTGTGTGTGTGTGTGCGTGTGTCCGTCCGTCCGTCCGTCTGTCCTCCGTTTTTCTCGGTAACCGCGGCAACTCTGAGCGTGAAACGTGGACATATTTTCAACTAGGAGGAATGCATGGTTAAATAATATTCTTGAGCGGAGAAGCCTGGGGGAAGCTGGTGAAACTGACGGCTGCCGAGGTGGGTGTGCGTCAAATAGAGATCGCGAACGATCGTTGTATAATGCTTAGATGCTAGATTCTTTGCGTGTGTGGAGAAGATTTGCTGGTCTGGCTGTATTGATTGTACAGTGATTGCCGGTGAAGTTAGAGCAGCCACGCGCCCCAGTGAATCCGTTCAGTGAAGGAGCCACTGAGGTAGCGTAGCTATGTAGCTGAATAGTGGTGAGGGTTGTCAAGACCAGTGCTTTTCACTTGCTGTAGTAGTAACTACGCATGTGTGGCCAAAACTGAAGTAGTGGTAGCTAGTAGACATTGGCTGATAAAGAATAAAGTGGCGAGGGTTATGCACTTTCAAGTGCTTTTCATCGAAAGAGAATAGCTATGATGAATGTGTGGGTGAATCTACACACAAGAATTTTGGGATTTTCCCCTTGTAGCCAGGCTCATTGGGACTTGTGGCTCCTTATGATAACAGTCAATGGATGATCCATTAGCCAGTGCAATATGGTTGAGTGTATAATATAATACCTACATGGGTATACAGCACGGCTGCGTATAGGTTTACCCCATAATTTTGACATTCCGTAAGTGATACATAGATTGATAAAGGTTCTTGTGCCGGTGCCAGGTTTACGTTCTAGCCTAAGAATAAATTCTTTCATAATACTAGATAAAGAAATCACCGAGACGAGAGAAAAGATTGATCAGTTGCAGAAAGAATATATCGAAATCTCCGTTTGCGCTGCTGAAGAATTTAGCAATAGTGTTGCAGTTAAAATGTTACGTTACTCCCTCCTCTGTCTTCCATTTAATCTCAAAAAGGAGCATAGAAGGTTTGTTACTAAAGTGAAAGCTGAAATAAAACAAGCTGAATCAGCTGAGGATATAATTGATGTTATTGGCGAACACTATGACTACCTCCACTACACTCTGTTGAAGTATGTCGTTGATCTCTACGGCAGCGATGATCTGAAGAAAAAGATGGAAAAGTACGAGAATAAGATGAAAGCATTTAGGAAGGAAACTAGGCTTGAAGTATTTTCGGACGTTTGCGCTGATGAGCCAGAAGATATCAACGGAAGGTTTACCACGATGGTTAGTAAGCAGGACATGGACTGGAGAACCGCTACACTGGAAGATGTTGAGAAGTTTCGCATTCAAGTCTGCCGGGAGTTGTCCTTGTATGACTTCTCCCTCAACCTCATGAAAGTGGCTCGAGGGTGTGTGGAGGTGACATGGCGGGTTCCTCGTTCTCTGGTGACCTACATCCAGAACTCTGTCAAGCCCAGCAGTCAGAGCATGATGGAGCATCACGTCACCACTCTCACCATTGACGGATTCATCGTCTACGACTCCTCTTTCGGTAGTCTGTTTTGTTTTATAGTGAGTTGTGCTTTACTTTACTCATTTACAGCCATGCAGTTGGAGTGGAAGGTGATTCGACTAGGGCTTCAGGCTATTGATACCAATTATAGCTACCTGTTGGAGGAGATGTCACCAGATGAAGTAGTGCCACATCTGGTACAACGAAGGCTGCTGACACAGCCACAAGCAGAAGAAGTTTGGGCAAAGAGCAGTCAACTAGAGAAAGTACATATAATAGTAGAGGCACTCCGAGAGGCTGATAATAGAGTTGTTGGGAGGTTCCCAACATTCTGTATGGCTTTGGCTAATGCAGGGCAGTTACATGTTTCAGAGAGACTCCGTAACAGTGAGTTCCTAAATCATTTTACATACATCAGTCAAGGTTCTTCATTCTCAGAGTTCCAGAGTCTGCTGAAGGGTGAGGCAGTCTCCCTCCAACAAGAGGAAGATGAAGTCATGATCTCTGGAGAGTCAAGTACCCAGCCCTCTCCTCCTCCTCCAGATAGCCGCCTCTTCACTGCCCAATTGGAGGGTTCTACCCTCACAAGAGCACAGTACAACACCATACACAGCCTCACCAGCTCCCTACTCTGTATCCCAACTGGTGATCTGGTATACAATGGCCACACCCTCAATCCACTCACTCTTCACTGGCACTACTATACTATTTGTCGGTGGCTAATTTTTCTCTCTCATTACAATGCAATGGCACAGGAGGGTATTAGAAAAGTTTGTAACAATGGAACAGAAATTATCATTCCTCATTTGAATGTAAGTGAAACATT